TTTTTTTATACTCTCAACTATTTTGAAAATAGCTGTAATTGTTATCGCTATTTGTCCCAAAGTAAAATTAATATAACAAATATTTCCATTTATGGATGTTCTATAGAATAGGTGGGAAAACTCCGCAACTTCGCTGAATATTTATTAATGATTACTAATTGTTAGCAGAGTTTATTTTTTATATTGCCCACCTATTCTATATTACATCCATTAAGTTTAATATTTTAGAATAATGATTTGCGTATATCGGTTTTGTGTAACTTAATGTACATCAAATTTTTTAGGCCAATAAAAAATTGCTGCGCCTCTAATCCGAAAATTTTGGTGCCAAAAAAAATTGATGTACGTGAAGTTACATGAAACCGATGTACGCAAATCATTTTTGAATATTTTATTATTATTGTATGGGTATGTAGTGAATAACCCAGTTACACATGGATTCATATTCCGTGCCGACGGCACAGGATTTAAATATGAACCCATGTGTGTAACTGGGTTATTCAACATACCCATACAATAAGTAATTGCATTGCCTAAAGCCTGACCACCAATCCCACATATATAGATAATTAAAATTTCTTATCGAATTTTGTGATTAGTTATTTGGTTCTACTGAGTAGGCACTCAGCTGGCTGAATACCTATCAGCAAACAGAATGCCACCAATAACCAGCATACATTTGGCACCTTCAGTTAAATTGTAAATAATGATTATATGTTAATTTTTGCCAATGATAGCCTGAAGTTATTCTGCATATATCTGTTTTTTGTAACAATATGGTGGTTGCACTATTGCAAACTAATTATAATTTAACATCAATAATGATATTAAATGGCAATGATTTGTTACGTAATAACATAAATAAAGTACCAAAAATAATTATATTTATGTATTACCAACTTTCGCTGAATTTTTAAGAATGAGATAAATTGATTGACTTGAATTACGCACGTATGAACTAAGTACTGAAATTTTACATAATGACTACTAATCCCTTCCTTTCTAAATTAGAAAATCAGCATACCACACAACAAACCCCTTCATTTTGTAATCATTGTGGACGGAAAGTTATCGAATTTCCCATAAAATTTTGCAGATCACAATTATCAGCAAAATATGCCAATAAAAAACGGAGTGGAAATAAAGATATTGACGCACTTATTAAAAAACAAAGAAGGAATCATTAAGCTGTGATGGTTTTATTAAATGGATACCAATTTTTGATATTGAGAATATAAAACTACTCGAACAGGGAGGATATTCAAAAATATATTCAGGCATATGGAAACCATTCAAATCAAAAAATAAATTTAATAACAAACAAAAACTTCCAAGTTTGAATGTCATTTTGAAAGTTTTGAAGAATTCACAGGATTTAAACGATAAATTTCTCAATGAAGTAACTATAAACAATAAGATTTTTATACAAACTTTTTATATTATTAATGACACTTATTCATATGAACTTTTTATATTATTAATGCTACTTTTTTTAAATGGTACATATAGTTTAAAATACACAGAAGTGTCTTGGAGTATGCGTCATACCTTTTTATGGGCTAACAAAACATTTGGAAACATCAGAATATGTGATGATAATGAAACAAGCAACTCAAGGAGACTTGCGTAACTTTATATGTTCTCATAAATCTAAAATCTCATGGGAAAAAAGAGCAATTATACTTGTCAACATTGCAAAATCTTTAAATTCACTTCATAAATTAGACATTATCTATCGAGATTTTCATAGCCGAAATATCCTTATTGATGATAATATGAAAGTGTTTATCAGTGACTTTGGTCTTTCTGGACCAGTAAATTTGCAAATAGGTATTTATCTTAATAATTTATTATTTGCGTAATTTTTTGAATTTTATTAGATTGTTCTCTCGTTGTAGATAAGAATAAATCAATTGAAGGGGTTTTACTCTATATCGCACCTGAAGTTCTTCGTGGAAATTTTTACACAAAAAAATCTGAAATTTTTAGTTTAGGCATTATCATGTGGGAATTAGCTTTCTTTACTCCACCATTTATGGATAGATCTCATGATATTCATTTAGCTATTGACATTGTGTCGAAAGATGTTCGTCCATTAATTATAGATGGCAATAAAATTCCTAAATTTTATGAAAGTATTATGAAGCAATGCTGGAATAATGATCTGTTAAAGAGACCTAATTCATCACAATTAGTGTCAAAATTTAACAAGATCATTGGATTGAGTAAGAGATATGACTCGAATAAGGCTATTTATAAAGAATCTAATGCAGGTAATAAAATTTTCATTAAATATTTTATATTCATAGGTATATCTTAATTTTGATAGTTTTTATATGGCAACCAGTGAAAATAAATGGTCTGAGCTTTATGCAAGAAAATGCTTCCACGTCTAAAGTTCAGAAATCGCCCAAAGATGAATTAGGTATATATCAAACCAAGTATTAAATCATTTATTTACCGGATTCAAATTTTAGAAATTAATCAAAAACATCTTTAAGAAGCTGTAGATGAAGGTAATTTCAGCAATTCTATTAGTAGTGGGTCAAATTTCTTTTTATTTAAAAAAGTTATAATTTATAACAACCGTGTTAAATATACAAATTCAATATTTGTACAAGCTGATCTAATTCCTTCATATTTAACTGACTTCTATAATATTAATTCTTACTAATTTTCTTATATATTTCATTTATAATTCAGGTAATTAAAATTTTAATTATCTAAACATATCTCGGAGGTCTCTATAATTTTACAATTATATAAATATAGTCAGACCTTTTATAGTCATATTTTTATAATCACACCTCTATATAAGCATTTAATTTTGTTAAATAAACCACTCTATATAAGCACAATCTCTTTATAAACACATTTTTAAAAAAGTTCCAACTAAGTGATTATATAAAGGGTTGACTATACTTCTATCATTGAGTTTATGAAACCTAGCTTTGGTTAAAACTGTGTTATTGGTCAAATATAATCTTAAATTTGATAATATGATTTGAACCAAGGGTTTTCAACATAGACAGCTGCTAAATCAAAAGAAACTAGCAGGATTAAATATAGACCTTTATTAAACCTTTTTTTATTACTAGATTATCAAACTTGGGAAATTGAGTTTAATTTGTATCTATCAGAATATTTATGTCATATTGATTTATCATCTGAATTCAAATTTAAAAGATTTTTTCCATTTAAAAGATATTCACCACCTGATATTGATTTGCCTTTACATAAACGTATACTTGAAAAAATCAAAAAAAAGTTTCTAAGCTTTGGCATATAAGAAAAGAGTGAAAAGAAATCTTTAATAACAATATAATGGTATTAATAATTTACTTCAAAATATTGCAAATCTTTAGTGATGTAAATAATAATTTTATATTAATATAGATAGCCCAACATTCATTTGAAGACTTTGATGATAATTATGCTGATAATTATGAAATTGATAAAAGATATACAACTCAAAAATACAAATTTACTTATAATGGTAACATTTCATAGAATATAAAACTGTTTATAATTTTTTATGCTAATATAAATACTGCTTATTAAATTCTTTTAATATTTTATATAGACATATTAAAATTGTTAAAAGAATAATTAAGCTGAGAAATATGAGATATTCTCTTTTTATAGATTTATTAGGACTAGAATAATTCTAATTATTAAGAGATTTGTTATTTATAAAGAAATATTTGTATTTAAAGATAATATTATATAGTTATTGCATGCAAATTATGAAATAATTTTTTATTATCTGGCATAATTTGACAGATATATGGGTATTCGGCAAAGTGATAGCAAAAGCACATGGCCTTTGGCCATGTGCGTTGCTATCATCCTGTCAAATACCCATGAATCCATCACATTATGCCAGTTAACTAGTTTATCTAGCAGGTATGATGTATATACTTACAGAACCATATTATTACCCAAATAAACTTTTTTAATTAATAAATAATAAGAACTAATAATTCAAATGATGAATATATATAAATGATAAAATGTGCAATTGTGTTTTGATTTAACTCTCTTTAATATTTTACATTATCAACTAACGAAGATGTTTCAGAACTTAAACTCTCGCAAATACATAATATGGATAAATGTATAGCAAAGTGGTTATGAACAGTTGACAGATATAGAGAAGTATTCAATTATAAAAAATTATTTGAAAGCAAACCCGAAGTTATTGAGCTTGAAGACTTTCTTTGCAAATTTCTTGTTTGGTTAAAACTAATGAATATAAAGCTTATATAATAATTGTTGTAGCTGATGCTGAAATTTAGGGCCCCAATTTAAATCCATAATACCTTCTAAAATTCACATATACTTTTTTACTAACAACTCTACCCTCAAACCCTAACCTAACACTAAAAAAAAAACCCTAATGAAAAGGCCCAAAATTTTTTTAAAATTTCATAATAAAATAAGTCAAAATTTCAGCATTAGCTGCGACAATACATATTATTGTTTAATTTCCTTTTTTTTTTTTTTATTGAAATGAACAATTTATATATATTATTGTTTAATTTCTTTTTCTTTTTTTTTATTGAAATGAACAATTTATACATATTATTGTTTAATTTCCTTTTTTTTTTTTTATTGAAATGAACAATTTATACATATTATTGTTTAATTTCCTTTTTTTTTTTATTGAAATGAACAATTTATACATGTTATTGTTTAATTTCCTTTTATGCATACAGTATAGACATGGTAATTGATTCTGCAGATAAGCTTAAAATGAAAAGAGCTGCAGAAGATAATATAGAGGAGTCTGAAGTGAGAAAAAGAGAAGAAAGTATCACAATCAGATTAGCAGAAATGAGCCTAAATGAAAGCAAGATGGAAATCCTAGAAGAGGATAGATTAGCAAATACAGAAGAAAAGGCAACACTAATATATACTGAATGTAGACATACAGATTATGGCACACAAATAACTAAAGAGTGGGTCTCATTAGTTAAAAAAAAAGAGCTACACAACAAAAAAAAAAGAAAAAGAAGAAATAGAATTAGAACGTAAAGAAGATATATATGGTTTATTGTGGGCTCCGAATAGTAGAAAAGTGCAAAACAAGTACAATGTAGAAACTACACCAAGGTTTAACAAAGAAAAGAAAGAATTGGAATTAGAACTTACTATCTGGGACTTACCTAGATCAACAAGTGCTGCAAATATTGTGAGAAGTATGAAATATTATAGCAGGATCGAAATTATCAAGTGGCAAAGTAGAAAAAAATCTAGAGCAGTTTTTTTAAAGATTAAGTGTAGAAATAAAATAGAAAAAAAAAGATTACAAGATGCATGGGCAGTACTCTTCGAAGAAGGAAAAACATGTAGAGTCACAGCAAATAGAATTGATGCAATTATATTAGAAAATAGAAAAGAATTCAGACTAAGACTCAAAAAGATTCCATATAAAGTATTTGAAGAACTACTTCTCAGACAACTCAAAAGACTTAAGGCAAAAATAATCTGTATACCCAAAAGTAGCTATGGCAAACAAAGAAGTATAGCTTTCATATACTTTGCTTTATTAGAAGACTTACTAAAAGCTAAGTCAGTCACCCCAAAATACTTCAAGGATATACTAGAATGGGGTAAAGATAGATATTACAACTTAGTAGAGTAGTCTAGGAATAAAGAGAATGAATATAGAACCAAACCAAAAGATATAAGTGAAAATTGACTTGGCTTCTACTCAAAATACCAAAATAAACTTCATAATAAAAAGGGTAAAGAACAAAAGCCAAACACTAACTTAAAGCAAGATAGTAGAAAGAATAGTACTTCTAGATCACGCAGCACCACTAAAAAACCACTTAAAAGAGATAGCAATTTAATAACAGGCAAGCAAAAACATTAAGAATTTACAGTAGCATCCAGTTCAAATAGAGAAGAACTAGGCAAAAGAAATTGAGAAAATTTTAGGAGAAATGAAAGAAAGATTTAAAATAATGAAAAATCTGCTTGCACGTTGCTTCTAAAATTAGCCATAGTTGATCTAAAGAAAAAGAGTAAGGCAAAACCCCTCACTGCTGCTTTACAAGAACCCAACAAACTAAAACAAAGTAAGAAAAAGATAGAAGATATCAGCTTTGAGTCACTTAGGATAGGATTTTACAATATTAATAGGCTTAAATTAAACAAACAAAATTACTAGCACTAGCAGAAGTAGGTAAAGAGGAGGGTTTGGATATTATTGGTATCGCAGAAACCAATATAGGTGAAAAAGAGGAAAAATAGATAAAAATGAGTCAACAGGGATATATTAGTTTTTGGTATGCTAAAGAAAAAAATAAAAATAAGGATCTGGAGTCAGGGTACTAGTAAATAAGAAGTGGTCAAAGCATTTAGGCAAGGTGGTCAAATATAGCTCATATGTTTTCAAGATAGAGCTTTTCTTCAGAAAAGTAGTAATACAAGTCTGAATTACTTATCTACCACCATCAGACAAGAAAGTTAATAGAGAGTCTCAACATACAATAATAAAAGAGATTTGTAGTAATACGATAAATACATATACTTGCGTGAAAAGAGACTTTAATATATTAGGTAGCACAGACTTAAACACAAATAACAAAAGCATAGTAGTCAGGGCTCAGCAAAACGCTTATAGAGTGGCTTAGAAATCATGACTTTATAGACACTTTTCAATATTTAAACCCACATAAAAGAGAGTATACTTGGAAAAAATAAAATTCTGAATCAAGAATAGATTTTATATAAGTAGGAGAAGAAATATATAATATACTCAATGAAGCCACAATTAAAAATATAAATTTGGCTACTAGTAGTAATCACAAATTAGTTACAGCAAGAATAGAGACAAGTGTAATACTCAGATATGGTAACTTTTGTAAAAGAAAAGGAAAGCATCCAACACGTAGAATCTTCCTTTATCACAAAGCTTTAGAAGAAAATTGGAAGGCATATAGTAAATACGTAGAGCATAAACTTAGAAGTAGAGAAATTTTAGATGCTAATGAGAGTACTCAGAGTAGTATAAAAAATATCAATGAAGAATGAGACATTATAAGTAATGCAATTACACAGGTAGCACTTAAACATATACCCTGAATTAGTACTAGTAAAACAAAAGCACAACCCAAAAAGTTGGTCCCTAAGTACAAGATATATAAAGAAATTAAGTTTCTTTATTTGTTACAAAAAAAGAAATATGCTCTTAATGGAAAAAGAATAAGTGACTTAGACAAAATAAGGCTTAATACACAAATTGAAAGGATAAACTATAAGTATCAAACACAAATTTCATAGTTACCAGAATTATGGAGCCAGGTAGAAGTAGAAGAACTAAAGAATTAGTAAAAAGTTCTAAGAAAAAAAGTACAAGAAAAAGAACTGCATATTAAAGAAAAAGAAATTCATTACAAAATTGAACAAAGATTCAATATGATGAGCAAAGATAAAAAGAAAATGCTACAAAATTTGTTAAATAAACCATTCAACAAAGTAACACTAGATAGAGTTCTTATAGAAGAAAGCTTATATTATCAGAATCAAAAACTTATCAGTGATGAATTGGAGGTCAAGCAACAAGTAAATTCACACTTTCAGAAGCAATTTAGAAAAAGATCACAAAAGTTTGAGAAGATAAGTCAAGCTTGGCAAGAAGAATATAAGCCGAAAGATTGGGTAGATTCTAACTGGTATAATATTGTAGTAGACCCAATCAATGAAGAAGAATGGCTTCAGTCTTTTTGCAAAACACAAAATAAAACAGCCTCAGGCCTCTCAGGAATCAGTTATATACTACTCAAGAAAGTCACACCAGAAACAACTAAAAGACTAGTGAATTTTGTAAACTTAGTGCTTGAGTATAGAAAAATTCCAGAAAAATGAAAGTTAGGGCAATTAAATCTAATACCAAAAGGCAGTTTTTGGGAGTATAACCTAAGTAATACAAGACCGATCGCGCTTTTAGAAACATTTAGAAAGTTTTAACTAGAGTAATACAAGTAAGACTAGATAAAGTAATTAGAGAAAATAGTATTCTAAAAGGGGCAAATTTTGCAGGCTTGTCGGGAGAAAGTACAATAATCCCAATACACATTATGAACAATATAATAGAGGAAGCTACAGAAAAAAAGAAACAAATCTGGATTGTATATCAAGATATGAAAAAGGCATTTGATTCTGTAAGCATGGTAGTACTTAAAAAAGCACTTGAAAGACTAAAGTTTCTATCAAAGCTAGTTGGGTTTATCCTGAGTTTGTATAAAAACAGAAAAATAAGTATGATAACAGAGTATGGAAACACAGACTTTATAGAAGCAGGAGATGGAATTGATTAAGAAGAAGTTCTATCTCTCTTGATATGGAGAATCTTCTATGACCCTTGCTATATAAGGTACAAAGTGCTAACCTGGGGTATGAAATGCAAATAGAAAGTAATAACTTTAGAGAAAGACTTCAGGTAGGTGTTTTAGCCTACGCTGATGACACTACATGGATAGCAGG